TTAAGTCATTAGCATATAAAACATGGCACAACAAATACAGTGGTGCCTCGCAAGACGAAATTAATCCGTTCCGCGAGTCTCTTCGTCTTGCAGTTTTTTCGTCTTGCGAAGCACGGCTATTAGCGGCTTAGCGGCTATTAGAGGCTTAGCAGCTTAGTGGCTATTAATGGCTTAGCGGCTATTAGCGGCTTAGCGGCTTAGTGGCTATTAATGGCTTAGCGGCTTTAAGAAAAAGGAAACAAACTCGCAAGAACTCGCAAGATGTTTCGTCTTGCGAAGCAAGCCCATAGGGAAATTCGTCTTGCAGAACGACTCAAAAAACGGAAAACTCTTTCGTCTAGCGAGTTTTTCGTCTTGCGAGGCATTCGTCTTGCGGGGCACCACTGTATGAAGTTGTATGTTTGCAATTATTATTACTAGCCTTATTGCCCACCAATTTCTGTAGCGTTGCTACTATATAGACTGATACTGAATGTCTGAGGCCATCCGGGTTCTTTCAAGTAGCCCTGTAAGCTGTTTTAGGAAGAGAAACAATATGAGTGAAACCTATAGTGAAAAAAATAGGAATTGCATAGAACATGGGGGGGCAGGCTTGCAGGATCTACATTGTGTTTTACGAGAACCATGAGATACACCAACTGGACCCAGGTTCAAAAGGTATACTCTTAAAATTAAAGAACATTGTGCCTCCAAGTTGAGCACAGGGATTTGTTTTGAGTACCAGAAATGAAGTGAGCTCTCGGTGCTCCCGTATAAAAATCCATTCCAAGTTACTTCAAGGTTTCTTCATGTCAACAATCTATGGAAAGGAAAGATTTTGTCAGTGAAATTATTAAACAAATGGGAATCGGGCATCCTTGTTTATCTATGGTAAATCACTCAGAGATCTGCTATTAGATCCTGATCCATCTTCTGCCCAGCCCATACTTACGTTCTACAACAACAGTTCTTAATTTTTAAGTGATTAAGTCCAGTCAAAGGCGACTATGGGGCTGCAGTGCTCATCTCTCTTTCAGGCCGAGGGAGCCAGCATTTGTCCACAGGCAGCTTTCCGGGTCATGTGGCCAGCATGACTAAACCGCTTCTGGTGCAATGGAACACTATGACCGAAACCAGAGCGCACGGAATGCCATTTACATTCCCACCGCAGTAGTACCTATTTATCTACTTGCATTGGTGCGCTTTTGAACTGCTAGGTTGACAGAAGCTGGGAGACAGCAATAGGAGCTCACTCCACCGTGCAGATTCAAATTGCCGACCTTCTGATCAGCAAGCCAAAAAGGCTCAGTGGTTTAGACCACAGTGCCACCCACTCCCTACTCAGAAGTAAGTACCCTTTGAACCCAACGGCACTTGAAGTAAGTACCATTGAACTCAGTAAAACTTCTAAACAGACATGTTTTGATTTTTGTTATTTAGTTTAATTCTATAAGATAATATTTCTAGTCGATTACTTCTTGTTTCAGGGATTTTCACGGTATTTCATTGGCAATGTGTGTTGTGTGTATATTTGGCATTGTCTCCAGTTAGAAAAAAGAAATGATGGAGAGAAACCAAGGCATGATACCATAAAGAGTTGTAATCAGTCCACTAGTTGACATTGCACTTTAGTTTCCCCGTGATGATAAGTGAAGTCTGTGGTTTTGCGTGATTAGCAATGTTACATATCACCAGCATATTCACTTTTCATAAAAGAGGCGCAGTTAACTCTCAAGGTTCATAACACTTTGTGAGGAAGCCATGTAATGCTGCTGAGATCTGGGCTCTTGAGTTAAAAATGTGGATTCTGAAGTGTTGTTGAAAAATAGGAGAGAATTGTGGGTTAAATCTGTTGAGAAGTTCACCCACAAATGCCAGTGGGGTTATCAGGACAGTTGCTGTTCTTCAAGCCTCTCTTCACCGGAGATTGTGTGACCAACCAGCATTATCTATTCTATGACATTTTGGGGATTGTGTCCAAGAAAGTCCATCTCAGAGTAGACCAACTGAAATTAATGGCCCTTAAGTAAGTTGAGTAAGACTAGTATTGGCCACTACCTCTTCTTTAATTTCTTAACCTAGTGTTGCCATTTGCTGGTTGGCCCCTTGGGTCTTCTGGGATGTCTCCACCTCTGCACTACATGCTGCAGAATAGTTTTTATCAGGAGAGAGTTCGTGGTGTAATTAATCCCTTCAATCCCACAGAACTGCCCAAAGTAAATTTCATCCAGCCCTGAGCCTCTTGTGCTCCTAATCCTATAAACACTTGTTAACATGGCAGAAAAGGCCATGATATATTGGGTATGCACTGGGGCCACTTAAACACATCTTCAAAGACTGGGTTTGGTGAGAAAACCTAAGAGTTGAAGTATACAGCCTTATTTCAAGCTAAGTCTCAGTATGCTGGTGTTCTTATTCCAAGCCACATCAAAGAAGACACCATAACGATTGGGAATGTTATTCTGTGGGCAGAGAATTTTTTACTCAGTAAAGGGTTTGTTTCATTTTTAAAGCTCTTGAGCTGTTGACTTTTGACTATACTCATTATTATTATTTTTTGGTTGTGAATTTACTATATTGAAAAATATAAAATCATTAAAAACCCTCGGGTTCTGTCGATACCATAAATCACTTGGACGTATTTGTAGCTATGAAATGGCCCCTAATTTTCTTCTATATACTATATGACCTACCCCCCCAAAAAAATTGTAAATGCAAAAAAACTCCAAAAACCTTTCAGACTTTATTACAGTGTTTAAATCACTGCTGAAAGTTTATGAGACAGAACATTTAGCAGTTGTGTAAGAGTGGGCCCAATATCTTCTGTAGGGTTAATAAATATGAATTAGGTCTCAAATATGCTATATTGTCCCTGCAGTGCTGAATCATTCTTGACACTGAGCAAAAGGAATTTTTTTGCAAAAGAAGGAGTCTTGGACTATCTAAAAGAGAATACATTCCTCTTAGAACGTGGGGCGCAGGTGGCGCTAAACCACTGAGCCTCTTGGGCTTGCTGTCTGTGGACAAACGCTGGCTCCCTCAGCCTGAAAGCGAGATGAGCACCGCGACCCCATCCAGGGGTCCTTTACCCTTACCTTTACAACAGAAATGTCATCAGGAAGATTAGACTAACAATTGGAAATCTTCTCCAAAAACTTCAAGAAGATACCTATTTTTGTGTGTGAGGGAGGAGTAGGTGGCATTCCCCTGATGCTTTTCTTTTCTTTTTTTACTCTCCTTTATTTGGGTAATGTCTTTTTCAAAGCGACATTTTTGTCCTAAGACATATAAAATCAGGCAGAAAGAAATGTTTGTGTCTATGGGGTAATACTAAAGGGTGATGGTAGGGGATCTGGAAAGCCCCCGAGGGCAACAGCAGAATAAAAAAATGTTCTAATTTCCTGAACATATCAGCCAAGGTGTCCTTGAGCACTTTATGGCAAAAATCTTCTGGAGTTAAATTCGGACAGCTCACTTTGAGAACAGAAAATGATTTTCTTTGTGGGCAAGAGAGCAGAATGGCAAGAATGCGGAATTTACTAAATGTGCTTGATCTGTGACAGGTTTTTAAACAGAGGTTTGCTTTTATAGCATATACTCCGTGTGTCATAAGCTGGCATTTCTTAAAGCTTTTTCTCATCAAGCTTTCGGAGAGTCATTTAGATAATAATAATCTGCAGTTGTGTCTGCCTGCCTGCCTGCCTGCCTGCCTGCCTGCCTGCCTTCTTTTTTTCCCTGCCACAGTTTCTGGAGTCCAGCTTCCTCAGAGAGGGAACTGATAACTCCTGATGAGGATGCCATTACTAAGCATCTCTGCCATCTTACGATTATGTGTGGGGAAGAAGAATAGATCCAAGCAGAACACAGGGCAGGGGGGCGGGAGCAAGGTCAGATCTGCATGGACACACCAGTGGAAACAACCCCCGCCGCATGGTCTGTGTGTGTGGTTTGGGAGCTACACGGTCAGGGAAAAAACAATGCTGTCCAGGGTTGTAAAGACTGCGGAGAGAATAATTGGGTGCAATCTCCGCCCCTTGGATCAAATCAATGCTTCCAGGTGCCATAAGAAAGCTGCAGAGATAGTGCAGGAGAGTGCGCACCCCGGAAATGATCTCTTTCAGCTTCTGCCTTCTGGAAGAAGGTGCAGGGTTATAAAGACTAGGACTAGCCGCCTGAGAAACAGTTTCTATCCAAATGTGATTTTGGTTTTAAACGCAGTGTAAGGTAGTCTCTATGGGAGTATATTGTATTTAATTATGGGGTATCAGAGTTTTTAGGGGGTTAACCAAGCTGGGATAGCTGGGGTAGCAGGCTTGTTGGTTTTTGAATGTCTGGTGTAGATTTTTTCAATTTCGTTGTTCTGTATGGGACGATGACAATAAAGACTATCATACGTATGCAGTGTATTCGCACAGCCCTGACCAGGCTGCCTCCCCCCTTGCCCAGCCACAGAACCACCCAAGTAAGCTTAGTAACACCAGTTTCTGGAGGTAAGTTTCATTGTTCTACTTTACCTCGTCTGTCACTACTGAGTGTTGAGCAAAACTGAGCGATATTTCCCCCCACAGTTATTGCCTTAAATGTTGAAGCAATTGTTTGCACCATTAAGGGATAATGTTAAGTGAAAAGTCAAGGGTAACAAACTTAACACTGAACACAGTCAATCTACGGAAAATCTAATGGTGGCAATCTGTGCTATTTTTTTTCTAGAAAAAGAGGCTCCGGAATTCACCATGAATACCTCCCTTGTTCTCTTAGAATGGCAACGGCACCCACACGAAAAGTGCTGGAACCCACCTGAGAGATGTTGGAACTGTATTCCAGCAAGTTCTGACTGAAAAGAAATCCCTGGCTGTGATGCCCATAAATGATCTCTCTCTCTTTCTCTCTCTCATTACATAAAAAGGAGTTGAATCTGTCATGGAATTCTACTCAATATTGATCCAGAGCAGATTCCAGCATATAGTTAGCAGAGAAAAATTTTTTAACACGTTGTAGAATTCCCCAAAAATAGACCAGAGACAATTGTATTTCAATCCTGAATGTACTGAATTTGTGACCATTATGAGCATAATGGTCACAAATTCAATACATTCAGGATTGGCACTGTCCGTAAGAAATCCAGTTGCAGCAGACTTAAACTTACAATAACTTATAAGAAGTCTAAACCATAACACTAAGCATGCTATGTACAGAACACCACACCAGAAGGAAAAGAGATAGAAAGAGAAAGTGAAACCCAGCTTCCTTCTGGCCTTACCTTTATAGTCAGCGTGACCTTGACTAAAACAGAACCAGTTTAAGCCTGTTGTACTCAGCTTCTCTGAAGGAATAACCCAAACATCATGAACCTTCTGCTTGCTTCTTTCACACAGAGAAGCTTCCAGAACCCTCTTGAATTAAGCAGAATAGGCGAGATCTCTACACATCAGATCAATACTTTCTGCACTAAGAAATGCAAACTGACAGAATCTTATAGTAAAAAAGAGAGGAAAAGACAAGACTACAAAAAACAAACAAACCACCACCCAGAACGCTGACTTCCAAATATAAAACATCTATAATACAGTATCTGCAATGGATAAATCCATAAACTGAACATATATCAAAATTCTGGATGGAATAAAACTTTGTGCTCTTTCAGTCTTTCCATCTCTGCAAGCATTTCAGCTTTCTAGATGGAATGATTCCCCCTCTTCTGCTCCACATGCTGTTCTGGTGGTTCTCCTGACTCCCCCCAGAACCAATTTAGGGAAGAGGATGGGGGAAGCCCAATTGCACAAGTGGAAACCCTTTTGCTGAGCGTCTGTTGATGGGTCCCATTAGGTGACTCTTGCCCAATATATTTACAACGTGTGAAGAAAAACCTGAATAAACAGAAGCCCTCCATCCAATGCATGACATGTTCTTAATGTTCTTCAGTCATATTCCTTAGATATCTGAAATGCCACCACGAGATGCTCTTAATGTTCTTCAGTCAGATTTTTCTGGATAACTGAAATGCCAAACGTGTTTGGGCATTATTAGCCTCCTTCAGTGGCCTGTTTTGTTATGCAGGCATGCTTTAAGCAAGAGGAATATTCCAAGACACTTGCTTTTTTCCATAGAAGGTTTCCTTTCTGAGTTGAGATGCTCTGAAATGTGGTCTAAGCACGACCTATTGTGGAAATGTGATATGTGACAAAGGAATTAAAGGTACATTAAAATAATCAATGCACTTGCAGATTGGAGATATTGTAAGTAAACCATAAAAGGTAAAGGGACCCCTGACCATTAGGTCCAGTCATGGCCGACTCTGGGGTTGCGGCGCTCATCTCGCTTTACTGGCCGAGGGAGCCAGCATACAGCTTCCGGGTCATGTGGCCAGCAGGACTAAGCCGCTTCTGGTGAACCAGAGCAGCACATGGAAATGCCGTTTACCTTCCTGCTGGAGCAGTACCTATTTATCTACTTGCACTTCGATGTGCTTTTGAACTGCTAGGTTGACAGGAGCTGGGTCCGAGCAATGGGAGCTCACCCCGTCGCGGGGATTCGAACCGCCGACCTTCTGATCTACAAGCCCTAGGAGGTGAACAAAAAGAAAAATTAAAAAATCAATCCTTTTCTCTAAGAAGGAGGAAAAAACCCACAATGCTTTGCTTTCATCACCAGCATTGTGGAATTTGCCTGTAGTCGAGCTGTCAAGGAAAATAAAATTCTGACTATGAGGCAGAAGAGTAGCAAACTGTGGAATTGATACAAAATAACCTTACCCTCTTTAACAAGACTTCATTGATAAAGCCGAGAGTAGAATTTGGCCAGTCAGGTATGTTCTGAGGCAATGCCAATTTTTGCTCATTTGTGTTTCATGGTCAGGTTCTTTCGCCATTAGCCTTGCCAAGAATGATTGATTCCAAGCTGCCTCTCTAACAGCATGGTCTATTTTACAAAAATATATAATTAGGATCTAGTCTCACTTGAAAATAACCATATATAGGGATTTAAAGAAAATCCATGTCGACGTGCCATTTGCAAGATGTAGCAGGCATTTTAGGGTAGGTAGATCATGACAAGTTGTCAAATTCAGTTCTCCAGATGCTCATTCATGCAGCTTTTACAGCATATTGTGAAATCATCTACGTTACTCCCCTGCTATGTTACTAGTCTATCAGGGTCTATAATATTGGCATGGCAATAGATATTCCGTTCATATAAATCTGCTTGCCACATAAATCAACTTGTCATCTTCTTGGTGTGCCTGCAGCCGGGGCAGCCAAGAAACAAATCCCACACATTATTATCAAACGAATAAGATCTGCAGTGTGTACAGAATGCTTGGCAACCCTCCACTGGGAATACTTTAAAGCAGCGGCAGGGATGTTGCTGGTATCCAGTTCCCATTAGCCCTAGTCAGCATAGACCATGGTCAGGGATGATGGGAGTTGTAGTCCAGCAATATCTGGAGGGCCACAGGCTCCCTGGATGTGCTTTAAAGTCTCAGTCTTCAAACCTGGAACGCAGGTGGTGCTGTGGGTTAAACCACAGAGCCTAAGACTTGCTGATCAGAAGGTTGGCGGTTTGAATCCCCACAACGGGGTGAACTCCCATTGCTCGTTCCCTGCTCCTGCCAACCTAGCAGTACGAAAGCACGTCAAAGTGCAAGTAGATAAATAGGTACCGTTCCAGCAGGAAGGTAAACAGCGTTTCCATGTGCTGCTCTGGTTAGTCATGCTGGCCACATAACCCGGAAGCTGTATGCCGGCTCCCTAGGCCAATAAAGCGAGATGAGCGCTGCAACCCCAAAGTCTGTCACAACTGGACCTAATGGTCAGGGGTCCCTTTACCTTTACCTTCAAACAATTGCTTCAAACAATGTTTTTCAGTGGGCTTCATACATACCAGATTTGCGTACCCTGGATGACTATCACTGAATTTGTGAATGGACCTCACCTGTCAGGGACCGTGCTGAGGAGGGCTGCACTGAGGAAGAACGGTGGGGGCCTCCCCCTCCCCCTGCTCCTGATCCTGAATCTTCCCAGGAGCAGGAGGACAGTATAGATTTGGAACAGTGGTTTGCAGAGGGGCATAGTTCAGAAGACAGAAGCTGGGAAATACTGGATGGGGAACAGCTAGGAGAAGAAACACTGGAAGAGAGTTAACAGATTCACAGTCTCTGGACAGCATTCACCCCGCTTCCCCAAAGACACAGAGAGGTCAGAAAGTGTTAGAACAGAAAGCGCAGATGGTACAAGCTCAGATTACAAGACGTAGGAGTGACCTAGATTAATAGGGACGGAGGTGGGAGTGAACCTTAATTGGGAGCACCGCCATTTCTAGGGAGATGTGTGTTTTATCTCTCTCACTGTGATCATTAAATAATCTAACTGATTCTTATTCACTGCCACAGGGGAGGAAGCCTATTCCCCAAAGCCTAATTTCACCTGAGCAACCATTTGGGGAATTCCACCACCACCACCACCCAGCAAACCTAAGTAATCTATTATTTATTTAGTACTTAAGCACTTATTGAGTTACATGTGACTGCCTACTACTATTGGTAAGAATAATACAAACTGCTTAAGATCTGTCTTGGATATTAGAAGTGCTTCATTAAGAAAAATGATGGTGTATCCAAACTACAAGAAAGAAGATTCCACCTAAACATTAGGAAGAACTTCCTGACAGTAAGAGCTGTTCGACAGTGGAATTTGCTGCCAAGGAGTGTGGTGGAGTCTCCTTCTTTGGAGGTCTTTAAGCAGAGGCTTGACAACCATATGTCAGGAGTGCTCTGATGGTGTTCCTGCTTGGCAGGGGGTTGGACTCGATGGCCCTTGTGGTCTCTTCCAACTCTATGATTCTATGATTCTATGATTCTATGACTGGCAGGGATTTTTTTCAGCCGGGACACCCCAGAACTGGTGTCCCAGCATCTTTCAGGTGGCCCCTGGAAGTGGGAACAGAGACTTGAAGAGCCTCAGCAATGCCTCACTTGACAAGCAGATCCTCTCCGGAACCCGAAGGAGACATCCAGGGCAGCCTTTCTCAACCTGTGGGTCCCCAGATGTTGTTGAACTACAACTCCCATCACCCCTAGCTAGCAAGGCCAGAGCTCAGGGATGATGCGAGTTGTAGTCCAACAACGTCTGGGGACCGCTGGTTGAGAACCGCTGCTCTAGAGGCTTCGGAAAGGGTCTCCTCGTGAGCTGGAAGTGCAGGGGGTGCTTTGCTGAGACTCTTCAGGCTCCCAGCTGACAGCTGACATGTGGGAAAACTGCGCCTCAGCTGAGCAAGTCCCCATGCTGCTCAGGCTTTTGCGAACTGGAGAGGTGCAGGAGGGCACTCACTAAACTGCTTAGCTGAGGCAAGGAAGGCTCCCCTCGCCTCAGCTGGGCAGCCTCAACAAGCCTCAGGAGATCCTCTTTGAGCTCTGGGATGGGTCTTCTGCAGGAGGTGCATTCTGGCACCTTTTTGCCTAGGAAAAAAGCACTGGTGACTGGAAATGTTTCTTTTCATATACATACATATATATATATATATATGTGTGTGTGTGTGTGTGTATATATATATCTATCTCTCTCTCTCTCTATATATATATATAGATATAGATATAGATATATAGACATGTATTTTAGAGTATTTGATGTTCTTTCATTGAAACGTTGTTCTGTTTAAGCAATAGTCACTAATATTTTTTTTTAAAAAACCCACAGAGAAGCATTTCAGATATTATTAAAAGAGCCATTAAAATAAGACGAATTAAATTTGAAAGGTTTCATGTCATAACTCACACCTCTTAAAAAGAGAAAGTAGTGATATACCTGTGCAGACAGCACTATTCTTCCTTATATATATATCTATATAAAATGTCAGACCTTCTGTAGTAAGAAAAAAGATGGAAGAAGTACTAGGAAAACATGGAAGGATTACAAAACAATTGACAATGTTGTACCCACCTCCATAAAATATGAGCAATTCTTCTCGATTAAACATCTAGTTTGGAAGCAGCATTGGGGGTTGTGATGGAACAGTTTTAAAATAAATCCTCATAGCTGAAGTAGCTCTGGAAATAAATAAAGTGAATATTTGGTCACCAATTTGTTTATATAACTAACATCATTGTACTAATGGAAG